ACTGACAACAGAAATACAAAATATTTAAAGAAAACTCTTCAAGCAACTATACACCAACAAATTGGACAATCTGGAAGAAATGGATAAATTCCTAGAAGCATACAATCTTCCAAGGCTGAATCAAGAAGAAACAGAATATCTGAACCAATCGATTACTTCTAAGGAAATCGAATCGGTAATCAACAAGCTCCCAACAAACAAAAGCCCTAGACCAGATGGCTTCACAGGTGAATTTGACCAAACATTCAAAAAAGAATTAAGACCTATTCTTCTCAAACTATTCCAAAAAATTCAAGAGGAAGGAATGTCCCTAAGCTCATCTCACGGTGCCACTGTTACCCTGATTCCAAAACAAAACAAAAACATTACAAAAAAAGAAAAGAAAACTATAGGCCAATATTCCTAATAAACATAGATGCAAAAATCCTCAACAAAATATTAGCAAATAGAATTCAGCAATACATTGAAAAGATCATACATCATGATCAAGTGGTACTCAGTCCTGGTATGCAAGGTTGGTTCACTATCCAAAAATCAATTAACATGATACACCACATTAACAAAATGAAAGATAAAGACTCTGGTCATATTAATAGATGCTGAAAAGTATTTGACAATATTTAGCATCCATTTATGATAAAAGCTCTTAGCAAAGTGGGAATGGGGAAATATACCTGAACATATATTAAAGACCATATATGAGAAACTAACAGCTAACCTCATACTCAATGGGGTAAAGCTAAAAACGTTCTCCTTAAGATCAAGAACAAGATAAGGATGCCCACCCTCATCACTTTTATTCAACATAATATTGGAAGTTCTAGCCGCAGCAATCATACAACTAAAAGAAATAAAAGACATCTAAATTGGTAAGGAAGAAGTAAAACGAATGATTTATAGCTGACATGATACTCTATATAGAGAACCTGAAAGATTCCAGTGGAATGCTATTAGAACTGATAAATGACTTCAGTAAAGTAGTAGAATCCAAAATTAATATTCAGAATTCAGTTGCATTTTTATATACCAGTAATAAACTACGAGCAAGATAAATGAAGAAAACAACCCCATTTACAATTGCATCAAAAAACATACCTGAGAATAAATTTAACCAAGAGAGTAAAAGAACTGTACTCAGAAAATTATGACATTGAAGAGAGGAATTAAAGAAGATACAAATAAATGAAAACATATACTGTGCTCATGGATAGGAAGAATTAATATAGTTAAAATGTCCATACTACCCAAAGCAATCTATAGATTCAATGCACCCCTTATCACAATACCAAAGGCATTTTTCACAGAACTAGAACAAAGAATCCTAAAATTTATCTGGAACCATAAAAGACTCTGAAAAGCCACAGTAATCCTGAGAAAGAACAAAGCTGGAGGTATCATGTTACCTGATATCAAATTATACTACAAGGACATAGTAACCAAAACAGCATGGTACTGGCATACAAACAGACACATAGATCAATGGAACAAAATTGAGAGTCCAGAAATAAATCCGTGCCTATATGGTCATTTAATCTATATCAAAGGAAGCAAGAATATATATTGGGGTAAAGACAGTCTATTATATAAATGTTTCTGGGGAAACTGGACAGATACATGCAAAACAAGAAAAAAAGAACCCAGAAACTGGACCTCCTTCTTACTCTATATACAAGAATACACACAAAATGAATTAAAGACTTAAATGTAAGACCCAAAACCATAAAACTCCTAGAAGAAAATATAGGAAGTAAACTTTCAGACATTACCCTAAGTAATATTTTAACCAATATATCCCTTTGGGCAAGGGAAACAAAACAAATAATAAACAAGTGGGGCTACATCAAACTAAAAACTGCACAGCAAAGGAAACCATCAGCAAAACTAAAAGACATCTTAGTGAACTGGAGAAGATATTTAACAGTGATACATTTAATAAAGGGTAATATCCAAAATTTATAAAACCCACACAACTCAACACCCAAAAAATAAAGAATCCAATTTAAAAATGGGCCAAGGACATGAATAGACATTTCTCCAAAAAAGGACATACAGATGCCCAATAGACATATGAAAAGATGTTTAACATTAGTAATTATCAGAGAAATGCAAATTTAAACCACAATGAGATATCTATCCCCTCACTGTTGTCAGAATGGCTATCATCAGTAAATCAACAAACAACAAGTGCTGGCAAGGATGTTGAGTAAAGGGAACTCTCATGCACTGTTGGTGGGATTGCAAATTGGTGCAGCCACCATGGAAAACTGTGTGGTGGTACCTCAAAAAATTAAAAATAGAACTACTTTATGACCCAGCAATTCCATTCCTGGTTATTTATCCAAATTAATCCAAAACACTAATTTGAAAAGATATATGCACCCTTATGTTTACTGCAGCATGATTCATAATAGCTAAGATATGGGACAACCGAAATGCCCTTCAGTAGACGATTGGATAAAGAAGTGGTACATATAAGCAATGGAGAATTATTCTGCCATAAAAAAGAATGAAATCTTATTATTTGTGACAATATGGATGGACCTAGAGTGTATTATGCTAAGTGAAATAAGTCAGACAGAGAAAGACAAATACCATATTATCTCACTTATATGTGGAATCTAAAGAACAGAAGAAACAAACAAACAAACAAACAAAAATAGACTCAGATACAGAGAACAAACTTATGGTTGCTAGATGGGAGGGGAGTTGGGATGGATGAGAAAAGTGAAGGGATGAGAAAATACAAATTGGTAGTTACAAAATAATCATAGGGATGTAAAGTCCACCGTAGGGAATATAATCAATAATATTGTAAAAACTATGTATGGTGTCAGCTGAGTACTAGACTTATTGGGGGATCATTTCATAAAATAAATATATATATATATATATATATATATATATATATATATATGCCTAACCACTATGCTGTACACCTGAAACTCGTATAAAATAATATTGTATGTCAACTATAATTTAAAAAATATATAGTCAGGGGATATAATGTCCAGCATAGGGAATATAGTCAATGGTGTTGTAATAGCTATGCACGGTGTCAGATAGGTGGTAGACTTGTTGGCCTTATCACTTTGTGAGGTATGTAAATGCCTAATCACAATGTTGTTTTGTGCACCTGAAACTAATTTTTAAAATAAAAAAGCCCCAAAAAACAAAATAACCTTGTTTCAGAATGCTTCCGGTAAAGTTTCCCACTGCCTCCTGTTCGAGCAAGGGGCTAGGAGGAGGATGCTCAGTGGCCTGTGACCAGGGTGTGGAAGTGAGGAAATTTAGACCTGCTTGAATTTGTAACACATAGCACATTGTGTCTTTTGCATTACACTGCACTGACCTTCTGAAAGGGATAGTTTTGAATTATTCTGAGTTACAGTTTTTGTCTAATTGTTCGGTATTAATACTTAGTTTCTGAGCTTGGCTCTGGATGAGAAGGGTAGATGGCCATAGTGGATGGGCAGGGGCAGCACAGAATGAGTTCTGCAGTCCCCAAACGGAATATAGCCACATCCTGGTGAGTCTCCGAGCAGCACAGGGAAATAGTCCCTGCACTGTGTAGAATCCCAGCACTTTGTCTCAGTGGGCTTCTGACACTCCCCCTGGGATAGAATGCATGCCCACTCTCTCCAGAACCACCCACCCCAGCGGAAGATAGGAGCTCACCTTGCTATCTCCCACTTCAAAGAACTACTTTTGGGTCCTCCTGTACACTGAATCCTACCTGCTGGGACTTTTGCTACCTGTCTTATTAGCTGTTGTTTTTGCCCACACACATCTTTATTACCTTTGCATTCACCAGGATCCCATGATTATCTCTTGTTCCCATCACACTCGTGTAGCCATTTAAAACTAATGGGCGGCTATCCCATATACAAATACAGCTACTTGCAAGTACCTATTTCTTAGGTACCTATAAGATTCAGAAATATCTGGAAAGCTCTTTGACATTCTCTGAGACAACATCCTGTGCCTTTGGAAGGTTCTATTGTACTCATTGAAATCCAAGGTATGCATTTTTCTTTTTTACCTTCACCCTTCATAAAAGTTATACTGACATAGATCTTACTAACAACGACAACAAAAAAAACACCTTTCTGATGAAATCAGGATAAATAATTCCACACATCATCATGTGGCAAGAAAGGCTTTGAACTGGTTTCCGTGAAAAGCTGAAGATGAAGTAAAGCAATAATTTCAAGGCATAGCAGCTGAATTGAAGATAATGGTAAAAATAGTTTGATAAAGAAAATAGAATAAAGCAATCAAGAAGACTCCAATCAATTATTCCTTTTTGTTTACCTTCAAGTGATTAATTCGTCTGCATTTATTAACCTGATGAGATTAAGCAGACCTTCCTAGTGATTTATTTCGTAATTGTTTCCAAGGTTTGACATAAGCTGTGGAGTTATTGAAGGTGGAGATTTAAATTCAATTACTCATGAAGCAGGTGGTGCTTCTCCTGAAAGAATAACTGAATTCATGGCCTTCCCATGTTAACATTATGAGTAGAAATTATTAATTCATCTGATAGTATCTCCCAAAGACTTTTAGAAGTCATTTGACATCTACATACTTTACTAAAAGTCAGCAGCTTTGTAACTGAACTTATAATGCAGAAAATCCAGGCTGAAAAGAAAGGATTTTATATGTAAGTCTAGTTATTTTTATACATTTTTTTACTAGAGCCTCCTCACGTGGAGCCTGGGTTGTGGTGATATCATGAACGGAGTCCACTAGCTCAAGCTTTGAATGCCAAAAGGATATCTTTGTTTGAACTTGACCAATGGTTCCCATTGTCTTTACATTTGAAGGGCACCATTGGGTAAGATCATGCTTTATTTTGGAGAGAGAGAGAGAGAGAGAGAGAGAGAGAGAGAGAGAGAGAGAGAGAGAGATAGATAGATAAATGCAGATACAGATATATAGATATGCTTTTTGTCTCTGTGGTCATTATTGTATATATTTTTCTGTTCTTTTCGTGGGTATAGTAAGGATAGACGGGGTTCTCCAAACACTAATCCAGATGCCAACTCTCCATCATCCAAAAAGGCCCGGAATACATCTACGAGTGGGAAGTAAGTGAAAAATGCCCTTGGGCAACTAACATAGCTATCAAAAAGCCACATGCTGTCCTCATTTTATCATTCATTCAACAAAGATTTGCAGAATGCTTCCTGTATGCCTTGGGCTGGGCTAGTCACTGGGGAATTTAAATGAGTAAGGTATGATAGGGAATATTGGGTGCATGAAGGATTAAAGAAGGGGGAGGAGAAGGAGGGGGAAATCAGGAGATGAATTTGGAAAGATAACTTTTATGGCTGACTATGAAGGGCAAAGACATAGCAATATAAGATTTGGAATATGAGTTTCAAAAATTAAGAAAAGAAGAAGCAGAAGCTTCTGATCAATCATTTTATGATTTGCAAAATCCATGAAAATATGTCTTTGATCCCTACATGAAGATTTAGGGTTGATTTAGAAGAACCTGGAAAGCCATTCCATAAATTTCCTGGGTTAAATACACTTAAATTGTAACCAAATCACTTATTTACATAATATATATATTTTTCCTAGTAACTAGCGTGTACCATGTCCTACCGGGAACTGTCTTTTCGGTATCATCAAAACTTATATTGGCTGAATATTTGTGATATTAGATTTACTGCTTTGGGCTAATTCCAGAAAACAGCATTGGCTGATCTTTCCCTTTGGATTCAGCAGAGCATGGCAATCTGAAATGATGTGATCCTGTGCAGATGGCATATCTCTAATTAGGCACTTCCCCTTCAAGTGGCTACAGCTCTTTGGTGAATGACTTGGGCTCTCTGTAAGCTGTCTCTCTCAGGGGTGTGGGGCATTGTGACAGGCAGAAATACAGTCCTAAAGAAGCACCCAGGCTGCATCTAGGAGAAGATAAAAGATGCCTTCATCATGTTAAAAGCTCTAATCTAGCAATACGATATGTCACTACAAGAGCATGGCTTTGCAATGAAAGGTGAATTTTTAATGGTCGTGTATTTTATGTATTCAGCATTGGACTGTTATAGTGCTGCACTTTGAATATAAGATTATATTCAATTCCCAAAGTGAAAGATCCATCAACTGCTTTTTTTCCCCTCTTCTTCTCTTCCTGAATACCATTTCAGATTTGCATGTGAAGTTGAATGTGGGCTATCCTGCAGAATATAAAAAGTGGTGGTGAAGACATAAGACTAAATCTCAGAGCAGTTAGAAGTCATTTCAGTTATTTATTACCAAGCACCACAATCAAAATGCTGTATAAATTATGAAGGAAGGGAATTGATGTATACATTCCCAAGCAGCTGAATGTTTTCCAAATTAGTCCCAGTGTATCATCAGCGTGCACTCACAGTTAACAGAGATGGCATTGGAGGATTGCTTTTCACAACTCCGTGCTTGCAAAAATGACAGGCCATGTCACGGCACCTTGTATACACCTGTCACACTGACAACTGCAGGGCACAATCTCCTTTTATTAGACCCCGATGTATTATTATGGGTGTTTGTGATTGCATTTTGAAAAGGGCATTGTTTTGTTTCTTTTGGCTTTGCAGGAACCCATTTTCTTACCTTTTGCATGAAAACTCTGTGTCAGCCACCAAAGGAGCAGTTAGAATCTGAGTTAAGATGACATAGAGAACGCATACTTAATACCATACCCAGGTTGTTAACAGGAGTCTTGCATAAATACATTCTTAAGTAGATAAACATGATCTGTATCCCACTTGCTGCATTTGGACTCATCCCAAGCTTCTGCCAGGTGAGGGTCTCCCTCTTGGCACATTCTGAGTTAGGTGTCTTTTATTTGCCATGTATGTGACTCACCGATTGACCTAGTTTTTTTTAAATTCCTTATTATTTTTGTTGATAATTAATGTAAAATAAAGTTTTCTATTTTTCAATATGCTCTTCATGGATATGTGTGCCAGGTATCCTTTCTCTTATCTCCTATCAGTTTTGAGGAGGGTTTTGTTGTTGTTGTTGTTGTCAATTCTTTTTTTTACATGTTTTTGCCTTAGGATATTTTTGTCAATAGGAGCAATACTGACCTTCCAGGGACACGATGAGACTGTTGGGGGCATTTTTTACACTTTTTAGAACAGCGTCTATCAATGTCTAGGCACGAATGGTATAGTTCAGAGAGGGTAGTTATATCCTATGTGTTCTCTCTCTTTTTTTAAGATTTTTATTGGGGAATTGGGGGGATGGGAACAGCGCTAGGGAATTGAGGGAAGGGGAACAGACAAGTTGCTGTTGTTTTGTGCTTCAGTCTAGTTGTGGAGGACACTGCTTCACTGGCCCAAGTTGGCACCATCATTGCGCTCTTCCTGGGCGAGGCAGATCAGTCGCCGGCTTCTGGACAGCCCCTCACGCTGGCTGCTGGCTACACACGGTAGCCCATGGCAACCCACTGCCACAGGGGCTGCAGCCTACGCCGTCGCCGGCGACTCTCGGCAGCCCAGCTCAAGGTCGAGCTGTTGTTCAGCATCTTAGCTGTGGAGGGCAGTGTCACTGGCCCTCATATGCGGGATCCGAACTGGGGCCCTCTGGCATCCCAAGCCAGTTCTTAACCATCGTGCCACTCGGCCGGCCCTGTGTTCTCTTTTTTGGCGGCGGGGGCGGGGGGAAGATGGTGGTGAGGGAGGGGGATAGGTATATTTCAGCATCCCAGGGCTTTTTCCCGTGGTGCATTTTCACAACAGCCAGCATCAAGGGTGCTGTTCTGCTGGGTTTTCTCATATTATCTGACTTAATGACAGTGGTATATGGAGCACTTTTTGACTTTCCCTATGTTATTTTGAGACTAGATACAGGCTGAAAGATAGAGGGAGTGTTCTTTTCTTCTTTGAAAAGAAATTGGGTCTCCTGCTTTTTGAAGAAACAAAAAATGCAAAAGTCAAGCTGTCTCAAATATACATCATGGCTAAAAATAATAAAGAATATGTGTTGAGTGAGTGCTATGGGTCAACCTCTTGATACATTTTGTCTCGTAAGTCCTCACCCACCAAAAGCTCATGAAATAAACATTATTATTATTTCTACTTTATGTGTGCAGAAATTGAGGCTTGGACAGACTATTGTGTGCCTACTTGGGGTCTCCAAATGAACAATTTTGTTCAAACCCTTCTTTAACCCCAATAATTTAAATAATAATAATAACGACAATATATTGAATTTTTACATTGTGCCATTGTGCTAGACCCTGGAGTCACATAGACAAATGCAAGATACAACAGGTGCCCTCAAGGAGCTCACAGTCTTAGTAGAAGACAGACAGAAGATGATGATGAGGTGTTTACGGTGAGGCAGTCACAGGGTGCTGTTGGAGACAAAAGAAGTCACCCCTAACCAGTGCCATAGTTGGAGTGGGGAGGTCGTCATGTGGGGATTTTCTTTCTTTTTTTTTTTTTTTTAGCTGAGCCATCCTGCCACCTGTTGGCAGCTCAGCGGCTGTTCAGCTCGGGCTGACTAGAACCGCTGTTGCTCAGAGCTCAAACTCTTGAGCGAGCTCTTAACCAACTGAACCACTCAGCCGGCCCTTCATGTGGGGATTTTAATGAAGGCTTCTAAGAGGTGACCCATGAACCCTTTAATTATCTCCATTTACCAGGGAGCAAGGCTAGGTCAGAAGAGAAAAACGCAAATTAGTCACTAAGGTGGGCAGAATCCTTCGATGTTGATAAGAACAAGTTGGAGTTGTGAATTAGACCAAAGCTAAAACTGAATGGCCAATTCTGCCTTTTTTTCCCTGACTTCAATCCATTTGGAGCCAACTGACATGCAGTGTAGCTTGCTGAGTAGCTTAAGAAACCTACAGCTTGAACATTGTGTCAGTTCTGCTTGCTCTGTTTTATTGCCTGAATCTGAAGCGGGGTAGCCAACTCTTTCTTTCAGGGAGGAACAGATGGAATGGGATATGTGTGAGCAGCAGAGCCAGACTACCCTGGCAATGACTTTGAGGGGGGTACATGCAGTTTTTTTTTATGCCAACAGTGAGCCAAATTGACAAGACAGAAAAAAAAATCAGTGCAGGGCCATACCTCTGAGATCAGAAAGCATAGGTTTTGCAGAAGTTGAACCATGACCAACCAGGCCAGGCCACCATATTTAACCTCACATTTGGTTCCCTTTGGTAATGTGATTCTGTTATTCTGACCAACAAATCAGGCTACAGTAAATGCACTTGCTGATCCATTGGGTTGTTCCCAGAAAGCACTTAAACTGTCAAGGCTGAGCATACATGGTAGCCACGAGAGCCATTACAAATTTTCATTTTCTATCAAAGCATATTTTACCTGAGACCAACTCTTTTGCTGAACAGATAAGGACACTAAGACTTAAGAAGGGTCAGTCACTTTCCCAGAGTCACATATCTGGTTAGTCAGCTTAGAATCCTGGCCTTCTCATACTTGGCTCATGCTCTTTCTACTACAGTGTACACCACAATTCTTCTCCCAGATAGCAAGATACTTCAGTTAATCACACCAAATGTGGCTTGGATCTTGGTCTCAGTATGTTCGGCTGAGTGCTCTGCCCTCCATATGCCATGGTAGCTATGTGGGTGGTTTCTCTTAGCCACTGTGAAGATGGAGACTTTGGGGAGAAATTACAATCATTATGCTTTTAAAAACATGTATCAGTAGTGATGATGAAAGGAAATAGCATGCACTTCTCAAAAGCTTTACTTTTTCTGTAAAATAACATCATTCTCGTTGTGTTTGGATATTCACCCTTTCTCAACATTATTGTAGAGCGATCTCATGCCTTTAACACACCCCTTCATCAAGAAAGCAATAAAGAGAACTCGTAGGTCACTACATCGTAGGTCACTACAGCTATTCTCCCGCAAATCAGTCAACCAAGGCTAAGGGTGTGTGTGTGTGTGTGTGTGTGTGTGTGTGTGTGTGTGTGTGTGTGTATGTGTGTGTGTGTGTGTGTGTGTGTGTGCCTGTCTGTCTAACATTCAGAGGCATCAATTTAAACATTAGATTGCAGGCAGTTGCAGATGATGATGGAAATCAATCACTCCTCTCAGCCTGAAATGGTTTTCACA